TATTATATGAAAATCACAAAAATTCAATAAGAAAAAAAAGACGACGATGATCTTCAAGAGTATCAAGGTCATAAAAGTAAAGAAAGATGAAGCTGGGTATGGTGGCACACGCCTTTACTCCCGGCACTCAGGAGGTTGAGGCAGGCAGATCTCTGTGAGTTCAGGCCAGTTGAGACTACAGGGAGTCTCAAAAAGACCAAAAAAAAAAGTGATGATAAAAATATTGGTCCAAGTGAGGGATACTAAGGAGATGTGAGGACTAAATGCAATGCATGATTGTGACGTGGATCTATTTACAATAAATCACATTATGGGTACAACTGACAAAACTTGAAAAAAAAAAACTTTTCTAAGCGCTTTCCCACTATCTGAAGAGTCTTCTTCACCATGGGCATCTTAGCATAGAAGCCAGCATTCTGCAGTGACTAAATATAGTCTTGTAGGGCTCTTGGTGGTACCTGGGGCCTACAGTTCAGAGTTGATCGGAGGAAGCCTGGCTAGCACAGGCTCCAGGGACTCTGAAGGACTGTAATACCAGGTGGTAGGTGTGGCTCAAGAGACTGATGTGGTTGTTTGGCCTAGAATAAGTCAGGAGTACTAGAAACCAATTCTGGATTTGCTGGCTTGCCAGAAGCCCCCTCATCTCCTGAAGATTCTTCTGGCTCCCTTGCCTTCACAGCCTCATGGGATCCTACTGCCGCTGCCACCTCTGGAGGTTGAGGCTGCAGCTCCACAAAAGACGAAGAAGACATAGTGAAGAGCCAGTCCCATTCATGTGGTTCTGCAGCCCAGACCCAGGGCTCCATGTCCTGTGACCCACAACCCTCTTAGGGTCTTCAAGCCCAATGTGAGAGAAGTGGGATAGTGAGGGATACACACTGGGGGAGCAACCAGCCAAGGGCTGTGAGAAGAGCGGGGTCTCCTCCAACACTATGTCAGCTGCAAAGTAGCAAAGAGGAACTAAGGTCAAGGAATGATCTCTCAGATCCTGCAAAGGGCAACCACATAAGAAGCCCTGAAGGTGGGAGGTCTGCAAGTCAAACCAGGTCCCCTCACTGACTGTGGATGAAGAGATGCAACAAAGGTCAGGCTGAAGGAAAGAGAAGGGAATCAGCATTCCCAGGTGGTCTTTGGGAGGGGCAGCCCTGGTTCACTTTCTGCTGAAGTGCTGACGATCTCAGCTTTTGCCTCCTTTTGCCAGGGGCCAGTAGACCTGGAATCAGGGTTCAGCAGGCTCCAGCTTGTTGGGGAACCCTGCTGTTAAGGTTGGCTCCTTTCTCTGCAGGGGCTTCCTGCCTGACTTACCTGGAAAGTGCCATCAAGCACAGATGCTTGGCCTCATTTAAAACATGACCTTTGGCACAGTTACCTGGAGTAAAAACTACCCCCAGGTTTTTTCTATATGATAACTAGGCATTGCCCGGTAGTCGGATGACAGGAGCCTTCACTGCCACATGTAAATAAAGCATACTATGAGCACCTATCAGCTGAAGCATTGGCTACTGCCTCCACACTATATTTTCCCTAACCCCCACTGAATAAACGGAGCTGTTTCACTGAGTCTGGAGCTGTTTGTATCACTAAACCTGCCTCCCCAGAAGGGCTTTCTTCCGTCAGTGCTCACTGGCCATCCTGACCCCATTCGTCGCTTCTGCCCCCTTTGTCCTCGTGGACCAGTGGCCAACGACCCACGAGGGAAAGGAGAGACCCCACACCAGCTCAGGAAGGTGCAGCTCCAGGTTGTCCCATCTGCTGTCCCATAATGGAGGACTGCTCTACCTTCCATACTCACACTGTCTTCACCACTGAGTCTGGAGTCAGATGGAAGATTCCAGAGTACTCAGGAAGATGTTCTTCAGAGAGTCCCAAGCATCTGTCCCTCCCAGTGCCCACTGGCTGAGTCATGGGCCAATCTTCCAGGTGACCATGGTGAAAGTAGCACCAGTTTGTTCTTTTGCCTCTGAGCAGAAATAGATCTCAGGGCTCCATGAAGGCATTCAGGACCCTACAGTGCTCAGGGGGCTGGACACTTACCCTCGTTGCATGGGAACATCTGGCAGAAGCCTTTGCTTCCTACTCAGACTCTTGGAAGGTGTTTCAAGCACTCTGGCCTTGCCACAAGGTACGTGAATCCATTGTATTCAGTGTGCACTACATGAACATGGATATCGTCAGCTCACTGTCTGGACTATAGCCATCCCCCAAGCTCTCAGCCCCTGCCCCTCCTAACTGCCCCACACAGGCTTTAAGGAGTCTCGCCACCTTAAAGTATAGCACGTGCCCTTTGTCCCTAGAGGATTTCACTTGAAAGACAGTGGTCCTACGTTTACTTTGTGACTCATAGCAGCTTTTCTGTGTGAAGTGTATTGTTTAGACAGAAGAAGCATGACTACCCTAACTACTAAGAATAAAACTAAGACCCTCAATCCTAGAAACAAAATATCAAGCTTTAGGCCTAAGCTTTAAGGCCACAGAACAAGAATTTCTAAGGCTGGGAAGAAGGCTCAGTGGGTAAGAACACTTGCTGCACAAGTGTGGGGACCTGAGTTTGAGTCCCCAGAGACCATGGAAAAGTGAATACACAGTGTGAGCATCTGAATTCTCAGTTCTCCTACAGGGACAGGAGGCAGGAGGAGGAGAATCTCTGGGAACCAGGGTCAGCTAGCTTGGTACAGGCAGGGAAAACAAACAAAAGACAATTTCAACAAGGTAGAAGGCAAGAACCAACACCAAGGTGGTCCTCTGACTTCCACACTCGCACGCCCACATTCACACCTATAAATGCAATCTCTCTCTCTCCCTCCCTCCCTCCCTCCCCCCGCCCTCAGAATTTCCAGTATGAATTCGCACTGACTTTGTTTCTTATCCAACTCTAGGGCACTTAAAATAATTTCAATTACCAAATCTAGTAAAGAAGGATCCACTGATAATTTTCAATCAAAGCAAGCTTGTTTAAATCATTTATTAGGAGAAACTATTCTTTCATTGGAGTGAAAGTCATATTCCCTAAAGTTTACCATCTTGGGGTGAATAGTTCAGTGGCATTTAGTCCATTCACAATGCTGACCAACCACTTACTACCACCTTCCAGTTCCAAAACATTTCATCACAACATAAAATGCCATATCCAAGAAGCATCTGCTCTCATTCCCCTTTCCCCAGCCTGTGCATCCATCGATTTGCACATCTGTGTATGTCGCACAGATGAAATCATACACTCTTTGGCCTTTTCCAACTGACTTATTTTTCTTGCTTTTCAAAGTTCACCCACACTGCAGTAAGTGAGTATTTAATTTCTTTTATTACTGAATATTATTCTATGGTGTATGAACATGATTGTATGCATGTATGTGTAAATGCATGCATCTCTTTCCCTCCTTCCTCCCCATTCTTACCCATTCTTCTATCCTTTGCAAAAGATGCATAATCATGAAGAAAATCAGACAAGATGACTAGGCCTGGGGGTGAGGCCCCTAGATATCATTGATCCCCAACACCATAAAAATCAAAACAATAATAACTGGCCTGAAATCTTCAGAAGTGTTACAGTGGGAAAAGAAAGGGGAGCACTGAAGCAGAGTTCCCATCTGATAGGGATAAAGGGAAAGAGGGTCCTGTCACTATTATGGGCACCTGGGAACATCTAACCAGTCTGGGTGGGGACTGAGTGGCATTGAATCAATGACTGCATCATTATTTTAACAGCTGTGGCAGCTCCACAGGAGCATGCACAGTTCATTCTGTTACACATGAAGAAGGGTAGCACCTGCCCAAACAACTGAAGTGGAAAAGCCCTAGGTAGCCTACTTCTAACCTTCCTATTGATTTGAGATCTTTTTTTTTTTTTTTTTGGTTTTTTTGGGAACAGGGTCTCCCTGTAGCCCCAGCTGTCCTGGAACTCACTGTGTAGATCAGGCTGGCCTCAAACTCACAGAGATCCGCCTGCCTCTGCCTCCCAAGTGCTGGGATTAAAGGCGTGTGC